CCAGACTTTGTAAAATATTAGTAAACTCTGTAGTAGCTCATGACTTGTGACACCCCGATTTCGTGCTGAGTTGGGAGGGTTTTCCTTGTTCTATCACGTTAATTTCGCATTTAAGATTATATTGCCCATGATTTAGACTTATTCCTGCTAAGTAATTATAAAGAGATGTACTGTTTTGTTGATTGGCTGGTCTTGTCCTCACGAGAGGCGCCATCACGACCGGGTTGGGATTTTGGGTCGTGACAGAAGATGCTATGGCTATGTCAAGATTGTGGACCGCATGTCTGTTATGCGACTGATATGCGGTTGCATATTTAACCAGAAAGGGTATTTTTGTCCTGAGTTTTGACCCACTATAAATAGATTTATTGGGATTTTGTGGGGCCATCTTGTCTAATTTTGGAGCTACAATACAAGGCTTTATTATTCCTCTCTTTTGGAAGCTTTTGAAGAAAGAATCTTGCACTTTGTAAGCTTTATGACATTAAATATTCTCATCCTTTTGTATTCTAGTATGTGTAGCTAACTTTAAATATTAAGGTTGTGGACCCTAAATGGGTGTTATGTTAATGGTTGTTTAACATTGAATATATGTATAATGGTTAGTTGATATTTATTTACTTCTCATTCTTCATTTATTGTTGGTGGTTGCAAACATTAACAAGTGCCATTAAATTCTTACTTTGCTTGGGATAGTGGGTTAGAATTTGGTAGAAGTAAATATCAAAGACTCAAGGCTTTAAGCCTTGTTTAAAAGAATCGCTTAGGAATAAGTGGGTTTTATTTGGAATATTGATTGTTCTTAATCGCAACTCTTTTATATTTTAAAAAATCACAAAGAGGAAATACTACCTAACTATTGAAAAATATTGGGTAGTCATTTAGAAATCATTTGCATATTAAAAGAACCATCCATTAGAAATATATCATATTAACACCGATAGCATTATACTTCATTGAAGGGGACACAACCTTTGTTTCTTTAATCAAATTAATTACATTCTCAATATCACAATTCGTTATTTCTTCAACTCACTATCATATCATACTCTTGTTACAATTAACTGAATAGAATTACGACTTTAGTCAAGTAACACACTATTTGAGTAACCTTTTCACACCTATTCCATGTGAGATTCGACTTCAACCTTTTTGGGTTATTATATTTGACACCGACCGCCTTACACTATTTAATTAAAGTGTAATTTGAGCGTATAAAATTTTGGCGCCGTTGCCGGAGAATACAATTTTGAAATTACTAATTAGTGTATGCTTTACTTTACATCTTATTCTATTCCATCATACTTTGCTTGTTTTGCTTGGTGTTGATAGGAAAATATGGCCGAATATGAAGAAGAAATATAGGCAGAAATGGAAGAAAATCCTTTTGCGAACATAGAGGAGTACATTGAGTATGCAAATGCTATTGTACCTCCGGCCGTTGGCGCTGCAACTTTCAAGGTAGAACATGGTTTAATCTTTATGCTCAAAGCGGAGGGGGGTTTAAGGAATTCCACTGTTGATGATCCGACACAACATCTTAGAAACTTCTTGGGTGTGTGTGCGATGCAATGGAGGAACAACGTCTTTGATGATGCTCTAAGGTTGAGGTGCTTCAAGTACTCACTAGCTGGGGACGCAAGGAAATGGCTTCAAAATATGCCACCAAACTCCATTCATTCTTGGCCTGAACTTGTCCGGGCATTCTTAGCTAAATGGTTCCCGAAAAGTAAGAAGTCTGAGCTCCGGGATAAAATTTTCTTTTTTCAAACAAGTACCGGGAGAACATCTACATGAGGCATGGGATCAGTTCAAGTTATATTTGGTGAGGTCTCCCAACCATGGTTTTCCGGATTCTATCTTGTTGGAAAAATTCTACATGGGCTTGGATTCTATGAACCAATCTATAGCCAAGAATGCAGCTGACGGATCTTTCATGGACAAATCATTCGCAAGGGTCATATAAATACTTGACAAAATGGCAAAGCATAATCAAGCATGGCACTTAGAGGACACCACGAGTGGAATTGCATATAGGTCTCCTTCCTTGACCACCATGATCAAAGAAAACCAATAGAGGGATCAAGTGATTGCAAGGCTTGCCACAAATGTCGATGTGTTGACAAAGATGTTCACGGAAAGCCAAACGATGAAAGTAAATATGGTGGAAGATGTGCAACCCATATCAAATAAAGACTTTGAGGAGGCAAACTATGTCAACAACTCTCAAGGAGGTTATCAAAAGCAACAAGACCAAGGTTAAGGACAACAAAATCAATGGAGGCCTCACCCGCAAGGGCAAGGCATCCAACAGTGGCGAAATGACCAAGGCGGCTCAAATCAAGGTAATTGCAACAACAACAACTTCCCAAATCGGAGTTCAAACCCTTATGTTCCTCCAATGGGTCAATATTCAAATCAAGGTTCCTCAAGTGAGTCTAGGTTGGAAGGCATGCTTGAACGGGTATTGCAAAATCAAGAGAAGTCTGATACTTCTATGAGGAATATGACTGAGCTTGTTGGTTCTCATACCGCATTCATTCAAAAATTAGATATGCAAATGAGAGACCTCTCTAGGGAACAAAATCCAAATCAAAAAGGGACACTTCCAAGTGACACAATTGCGAACCCCAAGGGCAGTGGGAGTGGTCCAACTTCTCATGTCATGGCAATTACTACACGGAGTGGAAAGGTACTAGAAGGTGGGAGTGAACAAGGGGTTGAATTTGAAGAGTCCGAACAAGAGGCTGAGGTTGAAGAGCCAAGTGTTGTTGAAGTTGAAAGAGTTCCGGAAGAATTGAAAGTGCAAGAAGAGAACCGGGAAGAGGTAAAGGAAAAGGTAAAAGAGACATCAAAAACTCTACCATCTATTCCTAGACATCCTCCTCCATTCCCTCAAAGACTTTCTAGAAAGGTTGACAATAGCAAACTCGAAAAAATCTATGACATTCTCAAGCAATTATCGGTGAATATTCCAATTGTGGAAGCATTTCAAGAGAAGCCATGTTTTGCTAAATATTTGAATGATTTGATTACCAAGAAGAGAACCATCAAAAATGAAGTGGTGAATGTGACTCACCGGGTTAGTTCTATCATTGCAACATCTACTGTTTAAAAGAAAGAAGACCCGGGAGCTTTCACCATTCCTTATACTATTGGAGCACATGATTTTGCAAGAGCCCTTTGTGATAATGGGGCTAGCATCAACTTGATGCCTCTTGCTATTTACAAGCAACCAGGGTTAGGTATGCCAAGGCCCACAAATATGAGATTGCAAATGGCCGATCGTTCCATAAAGAGACCGGTGCGAATTGTTGATGATGTGCTTGTTAAAGTGGGAAAGTTTCATTTACCCGCCAATTTCATAATCCTTGATTTTGTGGTTGACAAAAAGATCCCTATCATTTTGGGGAGACCATTCCTAGCCACAGGAAGAGCACTAATGGTTTCGGAACGGAATGAGATCAAATTTCGTGTGAATGATGAAGAGGTTACATTCCAAGCAAGCAAGGGTATGAAACTACCACATGAAATTGAGAGCATCTCGGTGATTGATGTTGTTGATGAAGTGGAAGATGCGGTTGAAATAAAGATGGAAGAACAATGCCTCGGTGAGGCGTTAGCGGCTATTTGGTAAACTTTGATGGTAAAGGCATGGAAGGATATATGGAAGAGGTAAATGCATTGGATGGGCTTGGGTCCTACACTTATGCTCTGGCAAAGCTCTCTCTCGATCTGGAGAATAGAGCCACTCCTCCCGCAAAACCTTCTATTATTGAGCCACCACAATTAGAGATCAAACCAATTCCACCACACTTGAGGTATAAATTTCTTGGCTCAAATGTTACTTTACCGGTAATCGTTTCTTCTTTGTTGAAAGATATGCATGTAGAACAATTGTTGGAAGTCTTGAAGAAGCATAGGAAAGCTATTGGATGGACAATTGTAGACATCCGACGACTTCCCCCCGAAATTTGCGAACACAAGATCCACTTGGAAAGTGAGACAAAACCAAGTGTGGAACATCAATGACGGTTGAACCCATCCATGCAAGAGGTAGTAAAGAAAGAAAACATCAAGTGGTTGGATGTCGGGGTAGTCTACCCCATTGCTGATAGTTCTTGGGTGAGCCTGGTGCAATGTGTGCTGAAAAAGGGAGCCATTACCATGATTGAAAATGATAAAAATGAGCTCATCCCAATAAGAACGGTGATCGTATGGAGGGTGTGTATGGATTATCGGAAGCTCAACAGTGCCACATGCAAAGACCATTTCCCTATGCCTTTTACTGATCAAATGCTTGATTGGCTAGCGGGAAGGTCATTCTATTGCTTTCTTGTGGATATTCCGGTTACAACCAAATCAATATCGCATTGGACGACCAAGAGAAGACAACATTCACTTGCCCTTATGGAACCTTTGCCTTTAGTCGGATGTCGTTTGGTTTGTGCAACACTCCGACTACCTTTCAAAGATGCATGATGTCCATCTTCTCCGACATGGTGGAGGATATTTTAGAGGTTTTCATGGATAGGTGATTCTTTTGATCATTGTCTCAACAATCTTATACAAGTGCTTAAGAGATATGAGGAGACCAACCTTGTGCGCAACTGGGAGAAATGACATTTCATGGTGGATGAAGGCATTGTATTTGGGCATAAAATTTCAAAACATGGCATAGAGGTTGACCAGGCAATGATCGAGATCAGTTCCAAGCTTCCTCCACCTACTTCCGTTAAAGGTGTCCAAAGTTTCTTTGGGTATGCCGGGTTCTATAGGCGTTTCATCAAGAATTTTTTCAAGATTGCAGATCCTATGTGCAAACTCCTTGAGAAAGATGCAAAATTTGTGTTTTACGAGAAATGCCTCAAAGCCTTTGAGGAATTGAAGCAAAAGCTCACCACGACACCTATTATTGTCACACCCGATTGGTATCTTCCTTTCGAGCTCATGTGTGATGCTAGTGGTGTAGCTATTGGAGAAATGCTTGGCCAACATCACAACAAGGTTCTCCACCCGGTCTATTATGCAAGCAAGACACTCAATGGAGCGCAAATGAATTACACGGTGATCGAGCAAGAACTTCTTGTCATTGCCTATGCCTTTAAGAAGTTCAGAGCTTATTTGTTGGCATCCAAGGTGATAATGTACACAGATCATGCTGCTCTTCGCTATCTCATGGCAAAGAAGGATGCAAAGCCTAGGTTAATTCAGTGGGTCTTGTTGTTGCAATAATTTGACTTCGAAGTCAAGGATCGCAAGGGAACTCAAAATCAAGGGACAAATAATTTATCAAGGCTTGAAGAGGCAAGGAGACCAAAGGGACATCTTGAAATCAATGATGTATTCCCGGATGAACACATATTGGCACTATCTAGCACTTTTGCTCCTTGGTATGCCGATATTGCTAACTACTTAGTTAGTGACCTTATTCTGGATGGATTGGAATCCTATCAAAAGAAGAAGTTTTTGAGAGACTGTTGGCAATACTATTGGGAAGAACCATTCTTGTTCCGTGTGTGCTGACAACATCATTAGAAGGTGTGTTCCATAAGAAGAGATTATGCCAATTCTAAAGGCATGCCACGACTCACCGGTTGGGGGTCACTATGGGGAAAATCCAACTGCGGCTAAGGTGCTTTGAATGTGGTTATTATTGGCCGTCAATCTATCATGATGCCAATCAAATGGTCAAGGCTTGTTACCAATGCCAAAGACAAGGATCAATCTCCAAGAGGTATGAAATGCTAATGCACTTTGTAATGGATATAGAAATCTTCGACGTGTGGGGAATTGATTTTATGGGTCTCTTTGTAAGCTCATGTGGGATGAAATATATCTTGGTGGCTGTAGACTATGTGTCCAAATGGGTTAAAGCAATTGCCTTACCAAACAACGAGTCAAGAAGTGTGATCGCATTCTTAAAGAAAAACATATTCACTCGGTTTGGCACTCATAGAGCCATTCTTAGTGATGGTGGGTCTCATTTCTGTAACAAGGCTTTCACGGGGCTACTAGATAAATATGGCGTCAAGCATAAGGTGTCCACACATTATCATCCCCAATAAAGTGGCTAAGTTGAAGTTTCCAATTAGGATATAAAGAGCATTCTAGCAAAGACTGTTAATGCAAAAAGGACCGATTGGTCAAGGAAGCTAAATAACACATTGTGGGCGTACCATACGACGTACAAAACTCCTTTTGGCACTTCTCCTTATCGGTTAGTCTTAGAAAAATCTTGTCATATACTCGTAGAACTGGAACACAAAGCCATGTGGGCTCTGAAGAGATTGAACTTGGACTGGGCTGAAGCTTCAAATTTGAGGTTAGCACAACTTAATGAAATGGAGAAATTCCGTTTCCATGCATATGAAAGTGCAACTATGTATAAAGAAAGGATGAAGTTCATTCACGACAAAAAGATCTTGAAGAGGGAGTTCAAGTCGGGTGACTTGGTTTTGCTCTTTAACTCAAGGCTCAAATTGTTTCCGGGCAAGCTCAAATCAAAATGGTCCGGTCCGTTCAAGGTGGTAAATGTCTCTCCTTTTGGAGCAATGGAACAAGAATCAAAGGATGGGCTCCGGACCTTCAAAGTGAACGGTCAGCGAGTCAATCACTACATGGGCACAGATGGAGAAAAAAACTTGGTGGAGCAGTTGGCTCTCAAAGACAGTCCATGCCCGACCAATGAGTGAATCCAAAGAAACGCCAACTTCGTCGTGCCGTGACGATAAATCAAGCGCTTCATGGGAGGCAACCCATGTGTGGTAACACCCTTTTTATTCTTTAAATTTTAATTTTTGTTAGTTAGATTTAATTGAGAAGTTTAAAGTGTGTGTTAGTGTGCAGGGGATTCAAAAGATCATAACACTGGTAAGATTGCATGAGAAAGGAAGAAAAATCACCTTAAAACGTTTGCTACACATATGCGGTCGCATTTTCACTATGAGGACCACATTGTGGTCGCAGACCCAAAAAGTGAGTTTGGCAAAAATTTGTGATAAGAATGCGACCAGGAGGTGCACTTTGCGGGCCGCATTTCTACTATCAGATCACAGAGTGCACCGCATCTTTGGCCCTTTAGCAATTCAATTGAATCCACCGCATAACACTTATGCGGTCGCATAAGGTGTTATACGGTAACTTACCCATCACAATTCTTCCAGGTAAGTCCCTCGCATCCCTTCAGCTTTCACACGTTCAAAATAAAAATAATTTTTTTCATTAACAGAAAGAAACAAAATAAACGAAGAGAAAAAAACAAAAAAAAAACAAAAAAAAACAAACAAATAATAGAGAGGCCAAAACAGTGAGTGAATCAAGAACGTAGAGCAACATCTGCAAACTCATCTCCCAAGTGTGCTCATAAACCTGTCACTGGTATGTTTTCCTTGGCCCAATTTTATCCTTGCAAGCTTTAGTTTCACATTAGTTTTTGTTTTTCCATTTTTTTGTTTCATGTTTCCTTTTTTTCTTCTTGTTTGTATTTTGTAGTTAGATGTCTGTTCATAATATGATTTTTGTTAAGTAGTGTGTTTTGGGGTGTTGGGTAGTAAAACTTAGGTCCGCCATTGTTGAAGGTTAAGTTCAATCGTTGGGAGCGATGAATTTTACACCTCGCATAATAAAAATGTGGTTCGCATTGTTGCCGCAAAAGCGAACCCTAACTGGCTAAAGAAGATGATAAAATGCGGTGACTTTGCAATCGCATAATTGATATGCGGACGGCAAAGTCACCACATACTGAGACAGACTACCCAGTTTTATAGCATGTTGTTTGTGGCAACTTTGCGATCACATATCCAACTTTACGGTGGACTTTGCGATCACATTTTGTGATTTTATTTTCTGAGAAATCAAGTATGTGATGGTTATGCGAACCAAATAATGGTTATGTGATCGCATAACCCATCGCATACTTAGATCATTTGAATAGCCTGAGAGTTTGCGACAAGTCTGCGGTCCGCATAGTGGTTATACGACTGCATAACCTGTCGCATTCTTACATTTTTCTTGAGTTTTTCTGTTTTCTTTCATTGTTGCCTACCATGTTGATCATGTTTCGTTTCTGTGTAGATATGGGTACCAGGAAACATACAGCCTCTGCCCAGAAAAGGGCCTCCTCCAGTCATCAAACTCAACAAGCAAAACGTTAGCGACCGGACCCTATTGCTACACTTCCCTCCCAATCTAATGAGGATGAAATTGTCACGACCCCAATCCCGGTCGTGATGGAGCCTAACACGATGCTAGGCAAGCCCGACCAATTACCACTCACAATCCCTTCTTATTAGAATTCATTACCAATTTTCAGAAGTAGATACCAATTTAATATAAGTAGAAGTCAAATAAAAGATTGAAATATGCGGAAAGCCATAATGAAATCTCTACAAATGCCCAATGATCTGGTGTCACAAGTCTGAGCCTCTAATACAAGGTTTCAATAGCCTAATGTAGAAATATGTCTAAAATACGGAATAGTAAAAAACGATAGAGGGAGAAATCGGGTCTGCGGACGCTATGCAGCTACCTCGATAACTCCGATGAAAAATTGAACGGCATAAAAGCTCGCTCTATACCTCAGGGACACTTGTACCTGCACACACGGTGCAGGGAGTAATGTGAGTACTTTGACCT